TGTGTAAAACACCCAGAAATGTCACGGAAATTTACATGATCTACATTTTGTCCGGATACTTTTGGCAGGTGAGTGTAGTAATATGTTTTTGCAGTAGAAAATAAATTTTTGTGACGGCTGGTATTATTTGATTGACAAACGTTGACAAACGTGATTAATTTGGTTTTTTTTTGTTGGCGCGAATTGTTTTTTTTTTTTTTTTTTTTTTTGGAAAAACAATTTATTTTTTCAAAGATGGCAGAACGTGGGTCTTCTAAAAAAGACGTGTTAAAGACAGAGGTACTTTTTTTTTTTTGTATTGATATATATATTTTTACTTTTTTTGATTTTATAAATATTATAATTGAAATCAAAACGCAGAGCAGAACTTGCTGGGTAATAAGATTCTCATCAAGATTGTGTATTTTGCTTTTCGTAATCAATATTAATAATAACAATAGTATTAATAATAATAAATAGTTACAAGAATGTCAAGGCAGCAACTGTTGAAAAAGAGACCTTTCAATATACGATGTTTGATTATCAGAAATTTGCAGACGTTGAAGCACGCACACTACCTTGGACACTTTACAGTCATTCTCACATCTTCCTCATATACACAAGGTTAATCTGACTTGCATCCCCCGATGATATGATGATGCAACCGAATACCAAGGGGATCGCTTTGCCCTGGAGTTTACCGAGACTGTATAAATCGTCAAGAATAGAGTTTGGATCCGGAATTAAGAGGTTCGGCAAAAATATCTGCATTAAAGTCTAATCCGGTAACATATTATGGAATCTGAATAGACTATGTAAATTTTTTGTGTAAATTTTTTTCCCTTAGTTTTAATCAATTATTATATACAACCAATAGATTTGCTTATAAGACATTAGAAGAATACATAAATAAATGTATTTGTAAAAAGAATTATATACAAAGAGGTATAAAGAATTTTTTTCCTGTGGTGCTTGGAAGAATTGCTGTGCCACTATGCCATTCAGCAAAGTTTGGTCATATTGTGGATTAGGCTATTTTGGTCTTTACCTTTAGGTATAAGTCCAAAGTATTGAATTTTGCAGGTAATTGACCCAAGAGGGTGTGGTTATCTCGCAATATATTCAAAGTTTTTTTGTTTGCCCTTTTTAAAACATTCTTTATACTTGCAATACAACAAGAATTATATTGATAAAAGTGTTGGTTAGTATATGTTTTGGTTTTTTTTTGGCAAATTTTCTTAATAATAAATAATTTATTTTTTTGTATTATTATATTAGAAGATATGGATAAATGGTTTGCACAAACAACTAAACATCAATATTATTAATATATGTTATATATGTTAGGAGGTAAAAATGGGTTGACTTTATTTTTAATGTTTGTTTATTCCTTAATTCAATTTTTCTTGTAAAATCCACTAATCATTATTTAATCATATTATTTTCATATTATATTCAGTTATCATACTTACATGGTCATCTAAATTTAATCCATCATTCAAACTCATTATATTATCAATATCTGTTCCACAATACATTTATTTTTATCATCTCCAATTTTCTTAACATTCATGTTTTTTGTTCCTTTGTTATTTTTAAAAATCATGATTTTGATGATTTTTTCCATGATTTTAGAATGATAGATATTGGTTTCTACATTTCAAGCTTAAATTTTTCAAAGGATTTGTTTATTACCTATTTAATTAAATGGTAAATCTTTTCATTAATTAATTAATTTTATTAATACATTAATGATTTTCTTTAAAATATCATATTATTTTTTTTTCTTTGAATAAAATCTAATTATTTCATACCTTTTCATTAATTGTTTTGACATTTTTGATATTATCTCCATTAAATATTTCATTGCCTTTTAAATTCATATATTCATATTCATAAATTATTTTGTTATCTTCAAATATGTCTTTTAATATCATCCATTACCCCTTTTTTCATTTTTTTCATTTGGGACAAAGTGAACATTGGTATTACCAAGAATTACAGGGATCAATTTAGTCGTTATTATCACAATCACATTGCAATTATAATTTAACAGTCCAATTTGTTACCTCGAGTGATATATAGAATTATCTCTATATAAAAATAGTTAATATGAAACTCATTTATATCAGATCTACCATGGAACCTAAGAATTATAGCACCATCAGAAGTATTTTGAAGAAGGAACAAGGTGAAAAAATTGCTCCTTACATTTTTAAATTAGCAGATACCAAATATTTGCAAACATATTTAGACAAAGAAAGGATTACCTATGAAATTTATTAAGAGGAAAGAGTTTTCAAAAGAGTATTAGAGAATTCTAGTAAAGAATCAAGAAAAAAAAGAAAACTGGCAGAATACTTTTTTCAACTTTGTTAATTTTTAATTACCTTTTATTTTCAATCAAGGTCATTTTTTAATTTCTTTAACTTCAATTTGAGCAGTTAGTTGACCATTCTGTTGTTGTAATTGGGTTAATTGAGCTTTTAAATCATTGATTTCTTTTAATAATTCTTGTGGAGTTAATTCTTTTAGTTGTTTGTTTTCTTCTTCTAGTTGCTTAATTCGATCTAATAGTTCCTGTTTCTGTCTTTTATGCCAATCTTCAGCCACTTCTAAGGCTTCCAAGTGTGTATCTAATTCCTTTTCTAACTGTCTTTCCTTTTCTTGCAAGCCATTTATTTGCTGTTCATAAAAAAGTGCCATTCCTCCATTTTGATGAGGCAAAAAAGGAAGTTCTTTTTCATTTTCCTCCTCTTTGCAATCACAAGTATATCTAGTCCTTAACCTTCCACAATCACACTTAGGCAATTCATCATTTTCAAACTTCTCTTTACAGTTTTCACAAGCCTTATCACTTTCGACTATTTCGCCAGTCGCTTTGCTTTGCATTCTGATTTGACAAACTGCTTTTTTCAAACCAGGGCAGAAAACACAAGTAGAATTACTGCTGCATCATTCTTCTAAATCTAAGATTGTGTAAAGCAGTTCTCTCATGACTACTTAACTAGAACTTTTATTTTAGCAACAATTGCTTGACTGTGAAACTTCTCTCTTTTGATTAATTTCTGCAACTGCTGAACCTTGGCTTTTGTTTTTGTTTTTAATTGCTTGAAAATGCTTTGTTTATTTAAAGTCCTACTTTCTATTTCTTTAGGAAGAGAGGGTAAGGGTTTTCTTTCTAAATTTAGTTGTGTTTTTAATTCTTCTCTTTTTTTTTACTTCATCCTCAAATCTCTGATCATTCTTTCTTAGCATTTCTAATTTTTGGGCTAATTCTTTTTGCAACTTTGCATTCTTTGTTATTTCCTCTTCAAGCATTTTATCAGACTTTTGGAGCATTAGCAATTTTTCCTTGATTTCATCATTCAAAAGACCTTTTTGTCAAATTTTTCATGCTTCAGCTATATTTATTGCTTCAGCTAAGTCTTTAGCACTTTGTTCTAATTTCTCAATGACTTCAAAGACAACTTTATTTAATTCCTTCTTTGTTCTGCCTGATAATTCTTTTAAATCTTCCAAGTCTCAGTAATGAAATTGGTCTTCTCAAGAAATAGTATTAATTTCTTCCTGTTCCTTATGTCAAACTGATAAAATTTCTGTAAGTTTTGTTTCCAAATTTTCAACTTGCTCCTTATACTTCTCTGACCCTTCAATTCTCTTCTCAAATTCTTTTATTTGATCATAAAGTTGATGACCTCTTCTGCTTGACTCTGCAATATGACTAGAACAACTTGTTGCTAAATCTTTCGAATAATCAATAAACCCTTCTAGTTCTTCCTCTTTATCAACTAATTGCCTTTTCAATGTTTCAATTTCGTTTAATAATTCTTTATTTGCTTGTTGTTGTTCATTTATAATGTTTAGTTAATTATTTTTAATAAATACTTAATTCGTGGTCTGCCGATCAACGATAGATTTTTAATATGTAGATCCGGGATATTAAACATATTAAAAATTGATTGATGATCAAAACCAAAGCTACCCATTTTTATTTTAAAAAAAAAATATATTCTATTACTTTTTTTTTAAAAAAACTCTTAAAAAAATATTAAACTGTTTATTTTATATATATAAATTCTATAAAAACTTATTTCAATCATGAATATTTTATTGGTGCAATTATTATCTAGTGGTATTATTGATCCTGATTTACATTATGGAGTACATGCAAAGACCTGGTGGTTTCAAGC